TCGACATGATTACCAAACTTCCTGACTCCAAGGGGTACGACTCCATTCTCATCATAGTTGACAGATTCTCCAAGACGATAATACCGATCGCATGCACCAAAGAACTTACCTCCCACAGATTCGCAAAAATCCTATGGGATCACGTTTATGTACCCTACGGGGTGATGCCAGAAAAGGTCATTTCTGACAGGGGGGCGATCTTTGTGTCCAAATTCATGAAAGAGTTCTACACTCTTATTCGGGTCACGGGAAACCCCTCTACCGCATATCACCCTCAAACGGACGGACAAACGGAGAGGGTCAATCAGGAAATCGAAAAGTACCTCAAAATGTTTGTGGGTTACCGACAGGATGATTGGAGCGAGTGGCTACCATTGGTGGCATTCACGCACAACAATCGGAAACACTCTGCAACCGGCTTCTCGCCTTATAAAGTGGTCTTCGGAAGGGACGGGCAAGTCATCACAACAGCCCAACATTCCGAGGTCATACCGGCTGCATCAAAGCTAGTATGGGGCATTCAAGAGGTACAGGAAAGGGCAAAGGAGTCATTAGAACGGGTGGCTGAATTGATGAAAAGATCCTATGACAAACGTAAGGACAACACGGTGGAGTACAAGGCCGGTGACAAGGTATGGCTGGATTCTACCAACCTGAACCTTCCACGTCCCACCAAAAAGCTTGGAGATCAACGCGTAGGACCGTTCACCGTCATCACCAAAAAGGGCACCTCAGTGTATGAACTGAAACTCCCGGGGGGCTGGAAAATTCACAACCGATTCAATGAATCACTCTTGACCCCTTACCATACCCCCGAGTTTCCAAATCAGCCGCGTCCTGACAGACCACCTCCAGAGCTCATCGATGAGGAGGAAGAATACAAGGTCAAGGAAATCGTAGAACAGAGAGACAAAGTCGTTGGTCATGGACGGACTCATCGCACCATAACCGAATATCTGGTGAAATGGAAAGGATACCCCAATGAGAAGAAAACTCCTGGGTGAAGAGGTCCAATATGGCTAATGCAGAAGAACTGGTAAATGAGTACGAAGCCCGCCTCCAAAGAATCCAATGGGAAATCGATAACAAAGGGAGGGCAGTGGGGATCGACAATAAAATTCCCACGAACAACATGGCCACGTATCATGAGCTGGATACCCCTTGTATCAGCGACATTGAAACCGTTTATTCCTCTGAATGCTTCAACCCATGACATTCCAACACCCAACAAGACTCTTATCCCTCTTCTCAACGATCAGCATCTTCTGAACAGATGGCGATGGTGGATGTCCCTAACGAACCAAGAGTAGTGTACAAGCTAGATGAATGGCTTGACACTTTGACCAAGGCAAAGGGAGGGGACTCCCATTCACAGGTACCACATCCGCAAGAAGAAAATGTGGTTAGCAACCTCCATTTCTTACTGACACAAGAAGAGGAAGATTCGGAAGAAGAAATTATTCTTCAAAATCTCCAATGTATCCATGAAAACTGGAATTCAGATAGTGAAGATGATGATGACATACAATCTTTCTATTCTGAATCCAGACACTCGACTTCAGACACTGATGGATGGGAATCCGAGGACTCATTCGGGACGAACGAGTCTTAAGAGGGGGGGTAATGTTATGGTTTATTCATTTTTCTTCGTCTTACTCAACCTGATTACTCATATGTGATCACCATGGACAGTTTCACACAGTACTATTGTTAGCGTACCCAAGATGTATTTAAGTAGTAGCCTCGCTGGTCTAAACCCCAGCTTCGGCTAAGGTTTAATCTACCCAACATCGAACTCCTTGTTTTGTGACTATCTAAGTCATCGATCGACTTCTATACATCTCCTTTGACCTCTAAGAGTATCGTCCACCAAAGTGCAAGTGGCGATCCTTAGTTGATCTAAGTCGATTATAGTTGGTTGTTGACATCAACAATCAGGTGCCTGGCAGATTTAATGAAAGGGGCATGTAATTGATGTGGGGTATAAGTGGGGAAGGATAAGTGGTGGCATTAAGCAATATTGCCAGGATTGAAACAGTAGGTTTGTGTGGTGGCTGGGGAATTAAATATCTGGTAAAATCTGCGAATTCTGAGCATACAGAGCCTGGAGGCTCATCATCATTTCTGCCATCCTGATGTGTATCTGCTGTCCAGCATGTATTCAGACCTCCACTGAGGGCTGATCTTTCCTTGATGTCATGTGAGTACTGAGTTTCTGTCCTTAGCATGCTTGCTGAGGTCTCAGATCTCTGTCATAGTCTCACCTTTCCCATATAAGCCAGGTACAAATGATGAGCCCATTCAATGCTCTCCTCATCTTGCCAGGTGTGTAATCTTCTTCTTAATTATGTCCTCTGTGCTGACACTCTCCTTATCTTGCCAGGGATTTGTTCCTGCACCATGTTTTTGTCTACCCACCCTCTGTAACTACTTAACCTTGTATTATGTACTCCCACCCAAGTGCTCACACATGAAGGCACCAAGGGTTGTAATTGTATGTCCTGTTGGGCGATTTTTCACTACAAAATCCCTGAGCTCTCAGTGAATCTCAGATTAGCACATACTCAGACATACAGTGCAGACATGGGTCACAGCCTATCACAGATCATGTGATCTTGCAGGGTGTGCATGAACAGATAGATCCATGGGGAATAGCTGCCAGCAGCAAGTCTTAAGCCTGGACCTAATTGTCGAGATACCAAATGCATCACACTTCTGATGGTCATCTGCTTATCATCCTCCCCTTTTTTCATAGCAGATATTCTAATTTTAGCAGTATATATAGTAGAGAACCTAGTAATTGAGCCCCTCACATGTTTGTGAGGGTTCCCTGCTTACCCTGGAGTCCCCCACTGCCACTTACTTGCAAGGGGGTTGCAAAAACTGAAAAAAATTTTAAGGCCTCAATGGACCGACTGATGGACTGCCATGGAAAAAACATACCCATAAAGGAAACATTATGTAATCACTCTGTGTCGGAGTCATCTGCCAGTGCGAGCTTTCCACATACTTAGTTCTCTCATCCTCGATCTAAATGCTGATAGTATATGATTTTTGTCTGCTAGTGACAACACTGTCCTACTGTACATGACAGACACTTCCAATTTTGGATCTGTTGAACTCAACAAAATATTTTTACAGCTGGTAACTCAATTCTCACTAATCCTGCTGATATCTGGCAGCATGCCATTGGCATTTTGAGCCTTTGACATTGTTTTGACTGCTTTTCCGGCACTCTTTGGGCTATGTTAGGTCATGAATATCATATATCAGCTGAAATAAACACCTCCAGCAGCATCTAGGGTCTCTGGATGCTATTTTACAAGAGGGGGGCAAAAAAATTTTAAAGACCTTTTGGACTGACCAACTGACCAACCCGATGTGCCAGCTTGCCGGGCCGCAACCCCCTTGCCTTGAGCTATTGCTTTTAATTATTTAATTTACTTCCCCCCTAGTACCAGTATCGGGCCGTAATTTTACAAGATGGGGGAATCTTAGTCATCACCATTTTCGGATTCACCCTCCTTGGCTTGTCTTCCTGCGTTCGTTCCTTCTAGCGCTGACTGCGTCGATTCTATCTCATTCCTAGAATTTACCATGAACCTGGATTCTTGGTCCTTGGCGGATATCTTCTCTGGCGGAACAAAACCGTCGGGCGAAAATGCCTCATCGACAGACTGCTTCACCGACAACGGGTTGGATAACGGCAGAAAAGTTGGAATCTGACGTGGTATAGCTTTCCAGCGACGTTCAGCGCAGAGCCAGTGCGTTCGTTTCCTTGTGGATGGTTTTTAGGTACTGAAGGGGTAATAGGACAGAGAACACGGACGAGCAGCTCGACAACCGCATATATCCAGGTTTAGAACGAGTTCGCCTCGTTCAGAGCAGGAGAAAGATCCTTCGGTTAGCCTAAGGCCTGTATGCGAAGGAATCGAAGAAGCAGCGCGCGAACAGGATCTGACCCGCACGATTTGCATCCCTCCCCGCTGTTTTAGCTTTGCCTTGTCCTACTTGCCGTTCTAATCTATGTTCACTGTCGCTCTTCTCTCTACACTCAAGTCCTTAGCAACTTTTGATTTGCCGTGACGCATTTCTTTGCTTGGGAATGGCATCGCTTGAAGCTGGTCGAACGGAGAGGTTGGACTCATCATTACTGGCAACAACGGCAAGAATACGCTATCAACAGGGCTGTCAAAGCGAAGATAGTCGGTATCAATTGGTTTCAAATACTGCGTCGTCAATAATAATATTCACGTTGTTTCCTTCAGCCGCTCCACAACAAGTCTTGTAGAAAGCCTGGAGTCTGCAGCACCATCGAGATGATTATAAGGAGTACACAGCATAGAAACTGGAAACTAGCGACCCAAATCCTCTCTCAGGTGTGTTTATCTCCCTGTACCTGGTGTCTAGGCGCTTTGATGACAAGGGAGCTCAGAGAAGACGATGCGAGCGTCTCATGTCCTGCCAAAGGTGCAGATTTGAGGGACGAACGAAATTCCAATGCTAGAACACGAACCGGGTCCCTTCTTACAGATCTGTTCCTGTCTCTCTTCCCTTGCCTTTCGTGCACACATTCGCCAATGTCTTATCCATTCTGTATCGCTTTTGGACCACGCTCAACATCGTTATCATTCACGATGGTGGGCGCTCTCTACTGGCACCGATTCGGCCTCGATGGTCGCGAGGGGCTGTGGGATGGTATCCTTTTCGAAGAAGGGAGTTTGGCACATGATGATAGTTGGAATCCCCTTGGCTAGAAAGTGCTGAATCAATGCCATCGGTAAGTCCGGGATGCAGTTTCGTATACTGTGTCAATACTAACTTCCTTCCCTCTTTAGTTGTACCCGCTCAGAATCCACCTTATAGTCTAAGGTCGGCGACTACCGCAGGGATAGGAACTGGCAGTCCGATATATGATTCTCTCCGTGGCTATTCCGTGACAGTGCGCGGAGTTCAACGATGGGGTACCGCAAGTGGAACACATACCCCTGTTGCCAGACACGGGGGCTTTCGGGTCGGTCCGAAAAGGTAAATTATACTTCTGACAATAAGTTCTTTCTTGCTCATGCGATTCATTCAGGATTGGGTTCCTCCCTCTTGCGAGTGAGGATATGATATCGGAAACTTCCCAGTTCCGACCGGAGTTCGAATACCCCATTTTGGTATGCCGGAAGATGCCGCAGTTTATTCGCAGCCACCAGTTGGCAGTGACCATCGTTGACCACCACCTCCGTCTGCTCGATATTCATCAGTCTTCTCGTTTCATTTGACGCTAACCGACAAACACTACATCTATGCCTCATCGTGTCCAAAGAGCCGATAGGAATGCCTTACCTCTTCCTCGGATTCAGAAGAGCATGACTACGCAGCAGCCAACCTCCAACCTGCCGTTCAAGATATCCATTGGTGGTCGTCTCGTCCCCGAGCCGTTTTTGACCGTCCCTCAGCTAAAGGGCCATCTGGCCCTTTTACGCTGCTTTGCTGAACTTAAAAACAAAGTCGAGAATATGGCTGAAGCGGAGCAAACAAGTTACCCCCAGGTCCCCGCTGACAAGGAACAACGTTGGAATTGGTTTGTTGCACTAGCTGTTGAGAGGTGAGTACGCTACCTTTTGGTAGCATGGGCCAAAGCTGATCGTATTGGCTAGATTCGAGAAATGGTGCCTAGCGAAATCCAGCATAGAACGGGATACAAGCGAAGACTTTGTTGTTCGTCATCTGCCTCCGATCGACGTCTTAATGGTGCATATCCCTTTTGTGCACCACCTATGAGCACTTGAACCCTCAACTGACAGTTCTGCAGGTCTGGCATGCCTATCAACTAAACCCTGCGTATGAGACTGAGCGCTTTCCGTTATCGATCATTCTCTGATTATCCCTCTAGTCGTTATCTTGATGACTGTTTCCGAATTCAAGGCCTAGGGGATCACGGAGACTGGTTCAAGATCATGGTACGCTTTAATCAAACATCGGGATTCCAGTCAGTTGACGTCATCATACAGGATCAAGTTTCTTCTGTCTACACCAACGACTACATGATAGTCGAGAGGTCCTACCATTGGACTGAACTCACAGGACTTCCTTTCGATCCATTTGAGTGTGCGAAGAAATTGACTAGGCGAGGCGTCGAATGTCCCAGGTGTTTCGATAGCCTCTCAGTTCGTGAGTATCTTCCCAGAACCTGTCCGTTATGACATTTAGGTGACCTTCATCTATAGCACTGCTTGCTGCCAACGGCAGCGGATACATACAACCAAACTTCAAGTTTACCTGCCCCAAGTGTAGTCATGTCGTTACGAAAGAGACTTTAGCCGTTCACAAGCTTGTGGCCGATCTTGTAGTCAGCGATGCGACACTATCGTAAGCCTTCGCTGTATATAATTGTACTGAAAATGTCTAATCCCGCGTAGACAGACGCTCCATTACTCGGGCGCTGCAGCTCTCTGTGATCCCATACGTGCCATGCAAGTCAAAGCGGCGGTGTTGCGATCAGATGTCTTCATGTCTAAGGGGGACAATCTATCTCCTAGAGAATGGGCAGTGGATATTCAGGAAGTCGTAAGTTATGATATGGTGAAGCTCAAGCAACATATGGGCATATATATGAAAGATGGAGGAGCCAAACTGTATGCGAATTATTTTATCTCTTTAGAACGTCTGTATTGACTGGGATAGGCTGAACAAGATCGTGAGCGCATATACAGATGACAAGATTTTCTCATTGGATCTCGTCGGCGCCGTGCGTACTTGTTCCAAGGTGTTTCTCATGCCATCCTAAACTCTCATTTTAGGTTTTACGTCAAGGTTCATTCACTGCCAAAATGCGCAGATTTGGATGGTACGAACCGGACTTTTTTGCCAGACCAGAAGATGAGTTGGCACTGAAACACTGCATCGCGAGATATCATGCGTGCGTTCTCCATACACCTGTCCTGTTTATAAAGCTCACATGCGAATTTCAGATTCCTCGACCTTATGTCAAGCAAACCGAAGGAGTTTTTCGTACCTACGCTAGATATCGATCTTGCCTGGCACACTCACCAACTTCTGCCGAGTTATAACGAAGATTGCATCAGCTACCTACGTCGTTCTATTGACCACGACGACAACGTCAAGGAGAACGTGCTCTCAAGCGCATTTGATAAGACCTGCCTGGCATGGGGGGTAGGCTAAGGTTCAATCATTAATACATACGGAGGTTAACATCCTCTCTTTCTAGAAACGCTACAATATCCGATACACACCCTGCGGGTGCTCCGCATCTGGCACTAGCACCGGAGAAAAATTGAGCGGACAGCCGTTGCATTACCTCATCCCGCCTGATGATCGAAGTGACTCGGACCTCGTTGCGAGTGCGCAAGGTCAGGGAACAGAGGAAGAGGGGCGGCGGGCTGATCTGTCCTTCTTGGCTCCTGTCCCGCTGTACATTGCCCAAGGCACGATGGGTGCATGTGGCGGTAAGTCTATGCTCTGTTTCAAGGGCCAAGTTTTGACGACTTTTAGGTGGTTGTGGTGGAGGCTGCGGTGGAGGCGGGTGTGGTGGTGGTTGTGGTAGCCGCGTTAGTTCTTGTGGTGGGGGTTGTGGAGGGGGTTGTGGAGGAGGATGTGGTGGTGGTTGCGGAGGGGGTGGCGGCGATTAGGACCACCCCATCCCTAGCCGCCGATTTCAAACGGCGTGTATTTTGGTATCGTTTTCATTTGACTTTACTTGTCGTTGTTATGAAACTGATAATATCATTGCTTACCCTTGCTGTCATGTGTGTTGAAGATAATGAACGACAGTTGTATCCGGTCTCAAACAGGGTTCGAATGACAGCGATATGCAGATTTGAAGCTATAGAAGTCGTTCTTGTAACAGGGATTTGTTGCCAGCTAGTCTCCGCCTACGAAAGGAATACCTTGGTGCGTAATATTGCATTTCTTCACTTGTGGTCATCATGATTTATTTTGAAGATTTGTCTCAGATTCTCGTTGAGTACTGAATGAGATTTCTGATGCCATATGTTATTCATCCCTGCAGAGTATACGACATGAATATTAATCCGTCAGTCGCACATGTAGCCATTTCCTCGACGTCATGATAACTGGGTATGGTTACAGGTACAGGACCAAGACGAGGGAAGATGATACTAATGAATATGGACGCAGCGGTCGCCGGTTATGCCATTCAAGAACCCTATTTTCCGTGCCCTTCGACCCGCCCAGATTCCGTTGCAACTTTGATCAATTCAATTTTTATTCGTTGTACTGCCGCGTCGATCACGATCGTTATCCTCGTGGATCTTCCTTCACATGTGGAAACACCCGGTTCTTCCCAGACGGTCGTGAAAATCTTCATAACGCCCTGCGTGTGCCTCACCCTCACCCTCCCTCCTCCCTCCACGATGAAAAATGCAGCAGAGATAGCGTAAGTATGGTACTCTCTACTGCTTCGCGTCGGTTGCTCACTTCTGAGACAGTCATGGTCCTATGATCATTGGTCTCTACATCAATATCATCCTTCTGGGTATCATTGCTACCCAGATGTATATGTATCTGAACGCGTACAGGAAGTGAGTTTTTGATTATCAGTGGTCTTTGTATTCAGATAATGACCGACCGCTACAGAGATCGTTTATGGATGAAGATCTTCGTGAGTAGTTTGATTTAGGGACATCTTTCATCCTTCGTTAACCGTGCCAATAGATTGTTGTCCTCTTTATCGCAAATGTAGCAAACACGGTTTTCCTGTGTCAATTCCTGTATACATCTCTTATCCTCAATTTCGGTAAGAGTCAGTTGTCCAGACGGGGACCTGAAAGAGTCTCAAGCTGTCCTCAGGCAACGACGCGTATCTGGCTAGAGCGGACTGGGGTATGATCTTCATTTCGATACGTAAACCAGGCTAGTGCTGAAAAACTACAGTTTTCGCTACAGGTACGGGATCAATCATGTTTCATAACCATTGTCATTCAGCCGCTTTTGAATTGATGTACAGATCCTGCGCTTACAGTGAGTTCCCTTGATCCGACGTTCCGATCTTCCTGAACTATTGAATAGGGCATCATTGCGGGAATGGTCCAATTATTCTTTGCGTGGAGAGTCAAGGTCCTCACCAACAACCTCTGGCTTGTAACAGTTGTAGCAGCGTGCGCCCTGGCTGGGACTGGTATATTTTCTGCTTGCTACTATTATCATCGGTCTCATTTTTGACACCGTTTTCTCTAGGCGCCGCCATCGCAACCTCATTTGAAGTAGGCAGAACTCCCGAGTTCGTAGAATTTCGAAACTTCAAGGTCGTCGTCATCATCTGGCTGGCAGCTGAATGTCTATCTGACATTCTCATCTCCGGGATCCTTGTCTGGCAACTGTGCGTATATTCTTCTATGTCCGATTCGGAACATTAGACTCACGAGTTTCAGGGTAAGTTTCTGATGGACCAAGTCCGCATGCCGAGCACTCACCATTTGACAGAAAAGACGCAAGACTGGATTTCAGAGCACCGATGAACTCGTTGATCGAATAATCCGACGTGAGTGATACCGTAACATTCAGCCAATTGCGTTATAGCGAAACCCGTTGCATTTACAGTGACTGTTCAAACCGGTCTTATCACGTCCATCTGTGCCATTATAGATCTAGCTCTCTTCCTTTCAGACGTCAGTACTCGTGTTATAGTTGACACTAGCGTGTGTTCTGACATATTACCGTTCTCGTCGTAGCCCACCGGAACGTGAGTGCCCTTAATGTCTTCTGCTTCTCTCAAAGAAGGTTTGAATCTACTCAAATGGGCACATTTATACAGGCACCTTATCTTCAATTTTCCTCTGTCCAAGCTCTACACAAATACGATGATGAGCACATTGAACTCGCGACGTGGATGGGATTTCAGTGATCAGGAATCTACTTCGCATACTCACACCACCAGTGGTATTGTTAGAGAGCGAGGGAAAAAGGTTTGTCTAAACTTGCCGAAGAACAGCTAGATTGATATTCGTTTCTAGAAACGCATCTTTCGCGTAGACACGACCCGTCCGCAGGTTTTCGTTGACGTTGAACAGCATGTTGAACAGCATGAGATGCACACAAGAAATCTTGCTGAAAGGCACCTTCATGCTAACGATGACTATGACGTCAAGTCCGTTTCGCCCGATGACTCACTGACAGCTGCAGCATTGCCAGGGGCGCCTTGGGAGAAGTAAAGCGGCAAGATCGTATGAGCATGCCAACTTTTCTTTTAGCAGTTGGGCTTTCAAGTACGAGGGATATTTTGTAGAGTGAATCGGGAATATGATACAGCCTTGGAACAAATTACTTCAGCAGAATGGGACATGTAAGTTACGTCAAGAATAAACGAAGGTGTAAAAGAATTATATGAGTATCACGTAAAGTATTGGTGTATCTAAACATCCCAGCGTCAGGGACATGCGGTTCCATAAAGGATGACGTAGAATAGTGTCGATAGCAGTTGTAGGTTAGCCAACGTTGGCAATGGAGGTGAGTGAACAGAAACGGCCGAAGCCAAACCAAGATAGCGGTGAAAGCCTGGGGGATCGCTAAACAGTGCTGATAGCAATAACGACGAAAACATGGGTGACAAGAAAACCAAACAACCAAGAAAGTGAACTGAAAGCTACGTGGGGTGGGGGCGAAAGGCGGCGGTAGCCCGATCAGGGTGTTCTCGGGTTGAATATAAGTTTGCACTCATGCGCTGAGGGAAATATAACCTAGTCACAGAATTAGTATCCAAACGTGTAAAAGTGACAGAGGTTACTCACGAAACTGTCTTTGATCTCCATACTTCTCTCGTTTGTTTCCGGTGGGGCAACAATGTTGAAGTTCCTCACGATGGCGGCTATGACTACCCTCATCATTGCATGCGCAAGGTTCTGACCTCCGCACATCCTGGTTCCAGTCCCAAACGGCATCAGGTGCTGCGTCATTAGCGTCAAAGAATCATGCGAAGCATCCAGCCAGCGATCAGGGAGGAACGTTTCAGGCGAGGGAAAGACGGCTGAACTGCGGTGCATCGACCAAGCTTGCGTAGCGACTACCGTTCCCGGAGGAAGTGCGAAACCCATGAGATCGAACGCTTCGTGTCCGAACTTAGGAGACGTAGACGCTGGGACCACACGCTCAAGAAGACTCGGAGCAGCCGAATACACTCTCAGTCCTTCACGTACCATGTCAGCAAAAAAGCAAAGGATATTTGAGGGCACTTGCCTTCTTTGATGAATGCGTTCAGGTAAGGCAGGCCATGGAGAACAGCCATGTCCGGAATGGTCCGCGCATTAGGCATAATTTCGTCGAGTTCTGCCTGGAGTTTCTTCATAACATCCGGTCGACGACTAAGCTCCCAAAGGAAATATGAAAGCGTCGTAGATGTCGTGTCGGATCCTGCAATCCTAACCGGGGAGTCAGATATGCTTCACGAGAGTAGGGGCAATAAACATACATGTGACCCATGCACTCCGAGATGATATCAATATCAGGCATGAATTTGTTGGTCGAAGCATAGCGATAGTTCAGCAGCCGATGCAGCATGGGCACCTTTTCCGATTCTTCTAACTTGCCCGCGTTCATCTGTGCACGCATCTGGTACACGCGCTCGCTGACAAACTGGAATAACGAAAATGAGATTGTTGAGTGCACGGAAGGAAGGTGCTTCACCTCAGCCATGATCTTATCAGAATCACAGAGCTGACGCCATCGAGCATTCGGGACCTTGCAAACAAGATTCCAAGCCCAAGTGGGAACGACGCTTCGCTATGGCTGAAGATTAGGGATGAGGAACGGGAGTAGGAGGCCTCACATACCAAAATTCCACGCTTAGGAAAGTCATTGATGGCAGTGGAAAGGGGATCTTCGGTATTCATGGACCACTTATGGACTGCACCAAGGCGGTAGCCATATGACGTCGATACAACAACGTCGACCATGAGGTTGCGGAACAATGAAAGACACTCAAGTGACGTTTTTCCGCTCATACCATCTAAAGCCTGCGCAGAATCAGCGCGAGCAGCGGCCATGACCAGTCAAAAACATACATTGACCAGCTCCAAAGTTGGATCGTGCATCTCGGCTTGAAATTTTGATAGGTTGGACGGCATATAGTGCGGGGCGTATCCCTTTCGTCGGACAGAGTGAGAAACGTGGTCGAGGGTGGTCATTCTGCCTTGAAATCAGTATACAACCGCATATATGCGCCCAAATACGTACGCGTGGTCATTTTCGTTGCTGAGAAGGCAATATACTGTCAGTAAGTTCAAATAACGCGAAGAGTGGAGACACACGTGAGGAGACTCTTGTAGTATGAGCTCTTGTCGAACTTGTGGACAGAGTAGACGTTTCGCATAGTAGAGAGATCGTTGAAGACAACCTTGTTGGGTCCAACGCGAACCACAGGGCCGTATTTTTCGAAGAGAGGACTGGATTGTCTGGCATTGCTCGAGACGCACGACGTGGACGGTAAGCCAGATGTCGGATATCGCCGCGTACCATGGACCAGGGATAGCGCTCAGGGGAGACAGAAATACGTTGTAAATGGCGTAAAAAGCGATGTATGCGACGAATAGAGAGGCAGCGGCAAGCGCGAAACTGGAAACAAGGTCAACGGCAGTAATCTGAGGGAAGGAAAACATCGCGACGGATTGGCGGGTAGGGGTGACCGGGGAAGGTGTGAGAAGGGAAGAAAGAAAGGTGGGCGTCGCAAAACATGCCCTCCGCCCTTTTATGCATTGGCTTGTGCTGACAAACAACCAATCTCATGTCGCGGACGAGGGAGGTCAACCTGTTTTGAAACTCCGCTCTCTAAACTCTTTCCCCTTTTTTGGCTATTCAGATTCCTTTTCGGGATGTCCGGCATTTAAAGCTGCCAAACGCCACAAACAAAGGGCACTAGTTGAAGTTCAAGACCGGGAGCTCCAGCGCCTGCAGAAAATGCGCGATGCTACCGCCACGTAGCATGACTCTTGGTGAAGTTGGCTCTGCTGCAGGCTTGCTGGCGAATCGCACTGAAGACCCGCTACTTGGCGAATACCTTTTTTTCTACAGGCTCTACATCCGTTGATGCAAACCAGAAGCCCGAGCTGCCTCATTTCTCCCCGAATGACCGAGCCACCAAAACGGGGATCCTATTTCCATCACAGCAACGCATATCATCTCGCATACATAATATTAAATATGCTCTTCAATGAGGCGTCTCAACGCATAACTTGGAACTCTGATCAAGAATCACGATCAGCCATTAGTTAATGACCATCATTGGACAACCTCATGTTCGGAGATATACCATTGCGAATGCCAGTAGTAGTTGTTGTAGAACTTTCCCAGTTCGCTCTCTAGCGTGACGGCTGCAGATGTCAGGTTTTAGTCCCACCAGTTTCATTCGGGTGCGATGGATACTAGGTCGCAAATAGTTAAAAGCAGTGGCATTTTGACGTTCGCCTGACTTCATCCGGGTTCATCAAAGACTGACTTGTCCATTTTCAAGATCCACATGTCCGAGATTTTCGGTTTTATTTACAACAATGACCAACATTGGCTACCACGATGTGAAGCATCGGAGGATGTTTCCGAATTAAGAATTATCCCTCAAGTCGACAAGATCTCGACTATATGAATCTGGATACAAAGGGCCTCAATATTAAAGTTAAAGCTTAATCGCATCGCCGCTTCCTCTATCACTCGATTGTGACTAAAGGACCTTACCGCCTTGCCAAACGGCTTGGTAGATCCGGCAGAAGAATGAGGGACATGATATCTTTAACACATATTTTGTGTACTAACTATTTGAGAGTCCCATCGTATCGGGCCAGCAGCGGCCAGACTCTGCTGGTCGTACACGAAATTCAGCATTAGATTGTTTCATTGTTGCAACCCATTGAATGCGTATTTATTCATTCATACTCTTATACGCCTAGAATAAAGTCAAGTCGCAAATGAAAATCTGGTGGATATTTGATTTATTTTGGAGCCTGGGGTTGAGAATAGGGTGAATGGAATAAATAACATCAAGTTTAATATTTGGGCAGTACAAGTTGACTAGCTACCATTAAATTTGTGGTATTCTACCGTCTACCGTTGCGAGGTTAGAGTCTATTAGATATCCTTAGTTGTATAGTAGTAATTTACTTCACGTTCATATCAACTGTCTGCGCGAACTATTCTGGGCTACATATCTACCTTGGTCGAATGGTACCAACGAGAGAGCAGGCTAGGCTAGTCCAGCTATCGAATAAGATGCCTGCCGTCCGAGGACTCTGATGTTTCCGACGATCTTCGTGCCTCACAATTTATAGACTACGAGAACATTTGCGACACAACAGCAAAAATCCATTGAAATGAACGCTGTTTTTGGGAAAGCAGTGGCCGACCAACGCGGTTTCTAAAGACTGTTAGTCCTAACACAGCGACTGGAATGCACCTACCAGTGAGATCCTTCCGACCACCGCAAGGGTAAAGATCGCTGCGATATCCGCGACGACCCCACTTGTATGAGACATGATGCCAGACGGAAGGATGGTACAATCTAAATCAGCCATGAAGCTAAGCACGACGAGAAACAAGATATTCTTCTGAGGCAACACGCGCACAGCATGAGGGCGCGGATCGTGATAATTCTTCCGAGCCGTATGCTCATTGCATAATAGGGCACGATGATAATATTAAATTAGGCCAGCGTCTCCTTAACACAAATATCCAGGCCGGGATCCCGGACTCATGGTATTCGTACGTATTATTGACTCAAATATGCGAGTCTTGAAACTTGATATCTTGTATGTTTTCTGGGTTCTGGATATTAACATAAATTAGCTTAAATGAATAGTCTACAGACCTGTGAGAGGTAGCACGTTGGGTAGATCCAATCGACATTGACTCACAATAAGCATGAGCTCTTCATTAACTATGCAAGTTGCAAGTAACAGGCCATCCTTTGTGGGACGATCAGTCGCCGGTCAATACGTCATTTATCCTAGAATCCTACTCAATAATCAGACACGAACTCTAAGAGAGCATTAGATGACAAGGGTACACAGTTGGGGAGAATTGAGTACGCGATTTAGACACGATGATCGTCGCCGTAGAAGTAGCAGTGAGAAGCTCTGGGTTATCCATTTGAGAAAATTAAGGCAAGAGTACATTTAGTGCGTGAAAATGACGCCACCTTTCATTGACAGAGATCTCTCAGAGATGAGCCCGTCGTAGATCGGTATGGTGGACAATGTCAAGAAATTTAAAAATTCAAATTCACGGACTCAGCACAGCCACTACTTACAAATCAAACGCCAAGTCACCGGAACAACTTTACGCCTCCACGGCAGACAAAGATCCATCATGGTAAGTAACTGTTTCGTCAGGTAAAAACCCGCGGGAAATATTCAGAGAACGTGTCCAATTCTGATCCAAGCTTTTAACCACAAGAATTCTCTCTAATGATCTCAACACATTATGTTACACCAAACGGCACTGGGCAGGTTGAAGGCAGGGCTAAAATTCCGATTCTTTCTCTTGCATATTGACTGGCGGAAACCAGTCACCTCCCAGGAGCGCAACACGGTGCTTCTTATCGTGCCAATCACTGCCGCTGCAAAAGGATTATAGGAACATCCGAGTCGGTTTCACTCAGCAAACATTGTCGTTGGTGCGGGCATTTCAGGCCGCCTCAAAATATCCGAAGTAATAGACGGTGTGAAAAGGTTGATAGTCATCAACTTCCTCCGAGGCTCAAACTTTGCTGAAATCTCACATTTTCTGTAGGTCTCATGTTGGATTTGACGACATTTTATTTTATGGATGCTCTCTTGTCGAACATCCGCTTCAATGATGAAATGAGGCCAGTCCAACTCTCACGCGGACCTCCATCGACAATGATATCAAGCCGCGGAGTTAAATATATCTTTCAAATTCAGAACACAGAGTTTCTACGTGGAAACGAAGAAAATATCTCACCATCATACCCGCGATCAGTGATAATAATACAAAAGTGTGCCGAAATGATGCTCAAGGACATTCTAACCACCCTTTTTCTTCTACAGCATGAAAATCCTTACACTCATTCTTTTATTGGCTCGAATTCTCTTCACCCATGCAGTCTATGCCCCATTACGCGAATACGCGGGGCAGAGCTTTTTTTCTGGGTGGAACTTTCCAGGCAATTACGACAATACCACTTGGGGTGCGTGCTATCTTACCTTCCGCGTTCAATCACCTCACATATCGCGTCTAGGGAACGTCACATTTGTTGACCAGACTACTGCGTCCATGAATAAATTGGCATACGTCAACGATGCTGGTAACGCTATCTTACGAGTAGATAACACTACCGATATCACTGGTACTGGACTCATTTATCGCGACTCGGTAAGTCCATAGGGCGAGGATGTGATTATGTTGCTAATGCTGTGGTGTAGGTCAAGTTGACTTCTCAGGATCTCTATCCTTTGGGAAGCCTCATTACAATAGACCTTATTCACATGCCATATGGATGTTCGGTACGCTGATAAAAAACTTTTTTTATTCTCCGTCCGACCTAACTTCCATCCGCAGGTTTGGCCATCGTTCTGGACTTTCGGAGGCACCGACTTGGAGTGGCCTATGTACGGGGAGATTGACATCATCGAAGGTATTAACCTTAATACCAACAATCAAATGGCGCTACACCACAACGATTCGTCCTGTGTGCAATCTCCGAACCCTGGACAGAGCGGAAAGACAGTTAACGCAGACTGTACCAACGGTGATCCTGTAGGGGCCACTGGATGCGCCGTCACTGAGACTAAGCCGAATAGTTTTGGGGAAAGTTTTTCCCAGAACGGTGGAGGAGTCTTCGCGCTGCAGTTCGACATGTCTGGAGCGTTCATCTGGTTCTGGTCGGTATGTGCTATGTTCCTTTTTTCACGGAATGGTGTCTGATTTTACATGAAGAGACAAAACATACCAAAGTCGATTACCTCTGCTACATCGACGTCGAACATGGATACAACAGATTGGGGCACACCTTCAGCATCTTATCCGTCTAGTGGATGCGATCTTCAGAAACTGTTCAAGCCACAAAAGTTGATTCTCGATATCACGCTTTGTGGGACTTGGTAAGAGCAACTTTCATTTTCCGGATGTCCTGTCTCATAGGTTCATAAATAGGGCTGGCATACCTAGCATATTCAATACCCAGTGCTCCGGACAATGCGTACGTAGCGAACCCTCCCTCTCAGATTTCCCGAGTAATCTCCTTGCAGGTGCAAGATTATATCATGGGACCAGGCAGCCCAAAATACGACAACGCGTGGTTCGAGATATCCTATATTAGAACGTATACTGCTGCTGCCGGCAACGCCACCAGCAGTGGAGTAGTATCGACCGCTACTGGAACGACAACTCATGTAGTGACGAGTACTTCTGGTAGAGCAACAGCATCTGCATCTGCTACTGGCACCTCTTCCCCGTCTTCAGCTGGACGTCCTCATTCCACTATTTCTTGGGTTTTAGTTGTGTCTTTGCTGTGTCTTGTCTCGCTGGGCTTGTAGTGGTAGAGTGCTTTCAGCCCTTGATTGACCTTAATATGATTATACCCCTTGCTTACATATGCAGACATGATGGAAAACAGGTACTTGTATCGCTTTTTGTCCGTGTTTTCGTGAGATTATTTATAGAACACTCCTTCGTGTATCGTGCTGTTCTACGTTCAAATGCTTCCGTCCACTTTCATTGTCAATGCTGTGCCTCGTACTTTATGGTTTACTTTTAGCTACTGTAGAAGTTGGTCGTGTCCTGTCGTGGGGTCCGGTTGCTTTCGCGTCCGAGGTCTTGTCAGTCAGCAAAGTTCCTGGGAGATCGAAGTGTCTCTAATTAGTATGTACTGTGCTCAGCTTGGAGGAGGGCAGCGGGCAGTCCCATCGTTGTCACTGACAGTGGTAGAGGTTGGTGGGACGGTGACTGTATACAAAAACTGAAAACGGAAGGTGACCACATCATGACATGTAAGGCACTAGCGCGCTTTGCCGCTTGCTGGCGCTACTTGTTATATCTATCCTCTTCATTAACCACCATGAGCGCCAGGCTGTTCGAAATCAAAGGATGGGCCCACATTACAATAGCCATCCTACTGACCGTCAAACCAAGTGTTGTATATAATTCCCCAATGACCCGTGAGGCCTTGAGGTTTCAAGATTGAGCGGCTTGGTATGTCCTTTAAATGGTAATTCTTCAGCAACGAAATTATCTAAAACCGACTACAAGCACATTTCTGATGCTGCCGTAGCACCCGGATTCAATCAAGCGATAGCATGTATGGTGGCGGCAGTCGGCGTGGGTTTTATTGTTGGAGCACGATCTGGTCCGGCTGCAAGACCGGCACTATGTATGTTGTGTCCTTCTGTCACGCTACTATAACTGAAGAGCGTTCAATTTAGTTTCAATGACTTTGACATGGGGAGTGCTGAGCCTCATAACGTGCGCAACTTCAAGGGGAAGCGCTACACTGCTGTTTAGTGGGATCAATCACATACTGTTCAGCGGGCTGTCGTACTATTTTGACTCTTCCCTTGTCAAGTAGCACAGAGTTTATGTTTGAGCGCTTGTATGTAGTAAATGTTTCCTGCATCACATCGTACCTGTGTCTATAGACGATTGGCTACGTGTTACATTCTATGGTCACTAGCATATTGAATTCATCAGAAATGGGAAACTCTTAGAAAGCGAAATATACACTCGAGCTCGGTCACATAGGTCTGCTACTGAACATTTTATTGACAGCTATCGACAACATGTTTACACCGGCATGTCCAGGATCAAAGCAGAATTCAATCCTGCTACGAGGATATGCCGGTGCCGAAAAGTCCCGGAAATCATAGTGACATCATATAATAGCCTTGCGGACCACCATAGTCTGGATTGCTCGTAGCCTACTCATCTATCAGCGCCAGCTTACGGAGCAACGACGAGCACGGAATCTCCCACCAGGAGTTGCTGATCAGATGCATTTAGTCAACATTTAGTAGTATTACTTGGGCGTAAGGTCGTTTTATTTCCCTGTCGACATCATACAGAAACATCTCTGCCGTCGCCTGTCGTCGCTCGAAAAGTATTCTGTCGTCTAAGGGACGTCAGGAAGTTCGGGCCGGTCACCTTGAGGAAGGCCATGGAAACTGACTAAGCAAGATGATCGGGAGATGACTAAGCATGCAAGCCATGCAGGATGCACGCCTGTCCACCCTACCACCAGCACATCTTTTTCTTGACGCCGCTATGCCTAACATTTATCGGACACGAATCCCTTCATATCCTTCAGAACCTGATGCCAATGACCCCGGGCCCTCACCAATCGATGCTGACGACTCTATCGTGCTGTCGGACCTTGTGCGGACCGGTGAAGCCTCTCGCCTTCGACGACGAGGTGCAATGAGACTCGACCACGGCCACACAGCATCGCAGACAGGACCTTCCAGCATAATATCGCCCAATGCCGGTGCTGTCGTGGTGGATTCACCGTCATGGGAGTCGGATCCAGAGGACCGAGACCCAGTTCTTGAATCGGCGTTGAGCAGGAACGACCGGAGTTTGAGGTATGCACGCAGCCAGCGGGAGGTTTCGCGGCATATGAAGGACGAGTATACGTGGAACTTGTTCTGCGGAGGCCACGAGGAGGATGCAGTAATAGAGGAGACCTTGTCACCCGTCTCGAGAGGTTCGTTCGTGCCGTCTATCATGCCTCTGTACCCGTCGACTGCTCAATCGCCGCCGTCGTCTTTCAAGCGAACAATTCGTAGAACAAATGGCTGTGGGGCCCTTGTTCATATGCGAGCTACGCCCCGGCAGCGTTTGGGTGTGTGGACCGCGAAAAGTGAGGCGTCGGATGCCGTAGTGGCCATGGACTCTTCATATTTCGATCGCTCTGCCGTCGCTAAGATCCTCAGAAGTGCCTGCGGATGTGTGCGCGAAGGTGTTGGTTGTGCTGTATGGTAAGGATCCCACTACTTCTATGTCTACGTACACGTTCATTAATTTTTTTTTCAGTGGAAATCCTTTGGGCACCCGGTATAGGCCGTGTAAAACTGCCGGTGATAGTATTTTCACCACTCCGTCGAATATTTCGGCGCCACGTTGTCCCCAAGGTCCTCGATATTGGCACGCCTCAAATCAGTCTCAGTCAACGCCTGGGACTTATAATCCCGAATTCTACATCTACACTTTCTTTTCAACGGCTGTTTCCTCAGCTCCGGGTTACACGTTTCCCCCACGTCTTCCTCATCATTCATCTTCGACCCCCTCATCTGCTTCGCAACGGCAGCAGTCATCTTCATATCCATTTCTTCCGCCACCGCCACCACTGGTTGAAGTCGATGATACCGAAGAGGCGACGCCCACCTTTGGTAACATCATGTTCTCCCGCGTAATGACTTCGTCGCCGACACAGCTCTCCGACGTCGGAGAAGATGATCGCGAGTCAGACCGAGGTGATGACTATACCCTGCCATTACCGGCTGACTGGGCAGATTTTGCCAACCGAGCGCCGCTCGACCCCGACGGCGAATTCTTAACCGACGTCGAGGCCCCAAACTCTCCGGACAAGAACGAGGTCATGCTCATACCGGAGCGGTAGCGACCCTCTAAATGGCATGTTTTTCATTGGAGTTTTCATTCTCCTACATTTTCGTGTGTTGCATCTTCTATTTTCATCACATTTCAAGGAATTTCTGCCATTACCTTTTCGTATGGACTCATCTTTGTTTTATATATAATTCGTACATCATCTATTATCTACTTCGACTGTATATTACAATGGCATGCATCTTATACCCAGGCATATTCGTAGCCCTGTATTATACGTCCCTAAACTTTATATCGGCCATACTCAAAATATATTACTTACCAACACACCGATCCAGTAGAGAATATTGTACTAGAGGCTAGAGCCGGACGAGACTGCATCAAGGCATCTAGGCCAGACTTGTCTTTGGATCGAAGAAATACTTGCACATTTCCTTAGGAAGCTACTGGGTTAATGAATCCCTATGGAGCCCATACCAATAGTCACGGACATACCAGAGGAGCCAAGGGAGCGCCTGATTGCCGCTACCGACGTGAAATCAGTCCCTAATAAAGAGGTGACGTGTCGGTAAGTATTAGATGGAAAAGACCAGCCATCGCTACGGCATCGGACATAGACCAGCTGCATTCTGCGCCTGACGCAATGCTACAACATCACATTGTCCTAACAACCCTCTTAGAGGTTCCGCCGATGTCGACTGCGAGGTTTCTACAATAGACAATAGACGGAAACGCAGCATATCAAACTGCCACTGTGCAACTTAAGCGCCATTTGTGATCGCACCCTGATTGTGAATTCTGGAAAAAAAACACCAGATGAAGACGTTCCAAATATGCCACATGCTGTAGCCAACAAGACCAATCCTGGTTCGAAGGATCTTTCCTACCCCTCTTCTGTCGAAGTCACCCACACCGGCTATTCGTGTAGCGAGATGAATGATCTGGGGTCGGTACCAATCGCATCGTGTGTTAGGCATCGTGATCAAGAAGACCACGACTAAAAGATAGACAGGGACATGATATCATCCCGTTGTGGTACCAAACCTGGTTCGCTGTCCTCCAGAGACGGCCAACGTCCAGGGAATTGGAGCTAACACGTTTTAAACGCGCTTGGGTCTAACCCTGTATGGGAGCAAAGAACACATATATACACGAGGTCCACACGCTTGGGTTTTGCGCCAGCCCTTTACCGCATGATCTGTTACGTTGGGCCCAGTAGATCGCCTCGTCAGTTCAGTCCCACGTAGCCAAATATAAGTCCCAGAGAATAAGAATTAATTGAACGAAGAAACGATACAAGGAGAGCAACAGTGAACCAAGCAATCTATACCCGGGCTCATGTCGCATCTACCAAAACAGCATTTTGACTTCCTGCTCCAGGGTCACAGAATTAGCAGATACCTAGTCAAAAAAAGACCTGCTCCTTACCTGATTCCTTCGCCAAAGCATCCGCCCATCCCTCCTCGAACAAATCCGCATTCGCCGAAGGATGCGCAACGGACGCCGCGATCTTGGGTCGGTTCTTGGCTTTGAGATCCGCTTGCCACGCATCGACGGCTTTGGGTACTTGGCTGCACAAGAACCACGTCAGCCTTGTAGCATGTAATACATCCGTCACTTATTCTTACCTTGGCGCATACGTCCTAGCAAACAAAGCTGCCTCTGGTGCTCGTTGTGTCTTTACCAGGAGGTCCACGCAAGACTTGGCATCTCCAAGCTGGAACATCGACGCAAAAGCCAAGTTGTTCAAGCCTTTCTCAGCTGTTTGCGGTATCAGTAATGTTTTGACCTTGATAAGATGGCTTGGCTTTACCAGCTTTCGACGAGAGGGCTTTCAGGCCATCCCGATCACCAATTGCGAGCAGAAGAAGCATGAGAGCGCTCAAATCATTTGCTTTCCTCGAAGCTTTCCCGTGCTAGGTCGAAGCGCCAGACAGTGAGTGCACGGTCACCCAACGACTTCCATTTCGCTTCGGCTTCCAACTCCGGTATTGAGCGGGCGATCTCTACGGCCGTGTCTAAGTCATCAAGTTGTAGGGACAAGTCGAATTTGTGATCTGGATCAGTCGTTACTTTCAACGCGAGTTCCTTGAGGTCTATGCGGGTGTGTCTGAGTTATAATCCTCCTTTCGTACTAGACGGAAAGAACGTCTTACCTCGGCCTTCCAAGGAACCGGGCGACCTTGTTCCAGCTGCTCCTTAGGGAGTGTTGGCAGAATTTCGTTCTGCGGCCCGCCATGTCGCCGCGGAGGACGGCGGTTTGGTATTCGACGACACTGAGCGATAGAGAGTAGCCTAGATGTTGACATCCTTGTCGGCCGAGGTAGACGCGGGGGGTGGGCGGGTATGTAGCCAAGGAGGTATAGAGGCCTGGAAGTGCAAGTTCAGAGTGGGCCGAGAAAACGCCATTGTACTTACGTGTCAAATGGACTGATAGTATATGACTCGCTGCCCACAAAGTAGGCACAGTCGCTTGGAAGATGTTGTGTAGATGAAACAATCGCCAACCCATTTTGCTGTCCGTACTCTGCGAGTATGATATCAGTAAAGACCTGCAGGGGAGCCCGAAATACTGACCCTTCTTGTACATCAGCAACAACTTCAAAAGCCTCTTCAACGCCCTCATCCGATATTTCTGCTCCTTCCTCAATTTTCGCATTATACGCGTCACGGTCGAACCGCAAGATATAGAACGAGTCGGCGGCGGTAATAGCCACTAACGAGCCCGTTCCCGACCAATAGATATTCTGCGCCTCGACGTCTATTCTCCGCACGATCTCACCAGACTCCCAATCCCAGAACATAATGAAACCAGATCCTCTGGCGCCTAAGAGGGTTCCACCGTTAATGCCGTCCATCGACCAGCTTCCAACACCTTTCATTCCAGCCCCGCTACGTTCTCGGAAATTCTTGTAGACTCGTAGTTTTACTCTGTTTT